ATCCAATTGAATGTAGAAAACAACCACATTTTTCTCTTATGCAGAGGATAAAAAAAAATAAAGCATGTCAGCTTTACCTTGATTGGGTAAATTAAGATGCTAAGAGCCTTTCAGCCTAGAAAGAATACTATTCAAAAATACACAATTTGTTTATTTACCTCTTGTTTCCTCCTTTATATATATATATATATAAGTCCGGCGTGTGTGTATGTTATCAAAGAAGTTTTAAAACCTCTGGTTGCATTCTGCCTAACATTAAAATCTAACTCTCACACTTCATGGCGTATAGACATATAAAAACAGTTGAATATATGAAAGGCCATTGTTTAGTAGGAAAATAAGGAACATTAATTTAATTTGACATAGTCATCAATCTGTTGTTTCATTTATTTTATCTGACTATTCAGAAATGTTATTTGTGACTAAACAGTCTGCTGTCCATTTTAGAAACTTTCATTCATACCTGCATTCATCCTGTATGCAGTTTAGCTGGCAGTCGCATTCAAAAGAACCTGATCTAGAAGTGATAATGTGGTGATTTTAATGACAACTGTTAGAGTCCATGGTTAAAAAACCTACTTTACTGAATATTTCCTATATTCTTGTAGGAATAAATGATTTTGTTATCACTATGAATAGATTTCCTTCTTACCTCTGCCTGATAAACTCTCCCTATCTTGCAATGCTTCTTGCAGCTATTTTATTCACAAGATTTAAGACTCACTTCCTTGACGGATAATAATGTTCCTGTTAGCAGATCACGCGTCTCACAAAGTTGTAAATCAGTCTGCACGATTTGTTGTCAAACTCTCCTCTATAAATGTTGCCGTTTGAGATGGGAACTCTGTCAATGCTGCATAAATATATCCGACAGGAAGAGCTGCGAAATTAACAAAGTTCACGACTTTCATTTATCACGCTTTTATTACAGCCATTCATTAAATCCTGATAGTTTTTTTCTTTTAAGATCTAGATAAATATTCCAAGCAATAACCATAAACCAAGCTCAGATTTGTAGTTTTTTTTTCTCTCTTGAATGAGTTATCATTTGGGTGAAACATTGTTTCCCTGTATCATGGCACGATAATGTCATTGCCTTCACACCCTATGATCATTTCACATTTCATAGCAGTGCAGCTACAAACTTCAGCAAACTCTCATGGAAGTTTAGATGCACAAGGTAGGTCTGGGCGATATGACCTCAAATCAATATCACTTTAAATTGGGCAGTTTTACCTCGATAACGAAAAATGCTTCAGCTCCTTTATCAGAAATAATGCATATGCAGGAAATGTAACTGATCTATTCATAATTTATTTATTGAATAAATCACATTACATAGTTTTAAAATAAATATTAGTCTTGTACCAACTCATGTTTAAAGTTTCAACAATGTCTGATTGAACAGTAGAAAAATGTTACCTCTCTCCCAACATTTTTTCTCAAAGGTAATGGAGGGTTTTACACATCTTTGAACTTGACAGCGTGGTTGCGCTGTAGTTTTAACGGCACTAACGAAGTACTAAAAAAGTAGAGCCCTTTGGTTAAATTCTGAGTTTCATGGGGTGATCTATGGCGTAACTATCCGTAGGCAGAGACAGCAGTTGCTTACGGGCCCATGACCTATTAGGGGCCCCATCACTGACACCTGGTTGGCCCCCAACGCAATTGTAGACCAGTACGTCTCTTTGCAGATGTAATTGTGCGAAAAAATCCTCTTAAACCCACCAGATACTGAAGTAGCTGACCACACCGGACCGTATTTATACCTCAACACATGCCAGATTTCACCATGATGGTGAGCCGTTTAAACACGACACCAATAGCAAAGCAGACAGTGGTATTATTAATTACTATGTTAATAACTGTGCATAGTTCATTAGACCAGCGGTCCCCAAACTTTTTTGCACCACGGACCGCAATATGTCAGACAATATTTTCACGGACTGGCCGGAGGGGGAGATACAAATACAAACAGCATAAAAATAAAACAACAAGCCGGTCCCATCTAGGCCTAATCGGACAAAATGACAGACGAAGTGTGCTCCTGATGTCCATTCTGCTCCGTAGCTTTGTTTTGGACGCTGTAACCGCAGAAAATCCCGCTTCACAAAGATAGGATGTTATAGATAGGATGATTCTTGAACTGAATTTACCTGTGTCAAGAGGCATAGATGCACCGACTGATGTAATTGGGAGAGAATACTGCAATGTTTTATATTTTTCAAAATAAAACATCACTCACAGTCTGATCGCCAATAAATTATATATATATATATATATCTATATATATATATAATCTATATCCGCGGCCCGGTGGTTAGGGACCGCTGCATTAGACGGTTGGTAAAAAAATACACTCATATAATATGTTTCAAACCGCAATAAAGATCTTAAAAGAACTATGTATTTGAGTATTTTATTTTTTACACTACGACTTGGAATTATGGGGAATCCAGAGCGCAGATTAAAACCATAACCGTTACGTACAATGTGTTAGCGACGATGGATACCAAAAACAGGTACTTAAGCGGATTGCAGAAAAGAAAAAGGAAATAAGAGCTGCTGGAAGAACGGAATAAACTTCACAAAATAAACACGTTCTTTCAAAGAACCGAAGAGGGAGAGATGGACTTTCATGGTGACCTCTGGATGACCTGAAAATTAATCTTTAATATCTCTTAAACAAAAGTAGCACAAACAATCTTTTTTTCTGAACAATTCTGCACTAACGTAGCACTAACCATTCCATATATTTGTAGAGTTTTTGACTTGGGTGAGATGTCAGCTTTACGCAGCTGTTAACCCTGGTGAGCCGAGTGAGAACAGAGATGAAGCTGAGCGCGCATTAGAATTGACTGATGTAATTTCGTTTAAAGATATCTAAGAAGCTTCTTCACGTGGCTCATATCCCATTCTCTTTGTTTACGCTTCTGACTGAATCCGTAGAGTCACGTGATGTCACACGGTGCAGTGCCTTGAAGGGGAAGGAACCAGCCACCGTCGCACACAGGAAAAATGTATTTTATCGAAATGGGAAAATTTTTGTCGTTTATCATAGTGAATGACGATAACGGTAAAAATCAGGTTTGTCGCCGAACCGTAGCACAAGACTTGTAATTCTGTGATTGGAAAAAAAAAATCAAACATATTTTTCATATAAATCTCATACGTTTTCATCCACCAACCTTTTAAATCTTTTGTTGTATCTTTCTACCAGACATGCAGACCTGGAGGCTGAAATGTTTGCCGTCAAGTAGATTGATCTTATTTAGACTGAATGGAAAGTAAAAGATGTTTTTAGCTTGGTCGTAGATTCTAACCAAACCTTTCCAACACAGGCTTTGATCTAACCTCTTATTATGTACCTCAAGTTCTACTGAAAGGTGAACTTCCTCTCAGTATGAGACCCTTTGAACATTTATCAGGTAATTTACTCCGTTCATCTTTCAATCAGCTTCTGTGTCTTTGCTTAAAGAAATCATCCCAGTAGGAGGGAAGCTGTCGCCATCATTGTTCACCATGGGCAATGCATGGCAGATGCGTTTGCTTTTATCCACAGCAGCATTTTACAGGAAAAAGTTATGCTTTGGTCTCATCTGAACAGAGAGATGATGGATTGAAAGATTCCCCTGCATAACTCGTTGACTGATATGAAATTAAAATGGTTGCAGTGGATTTTTATAAAATCATCTAAGTCCAGAATTGTTTTGTGTTTGGAACTCCTGCCTTTAAATTACCTTGAATTTTTTTAAGTAGTTTTGGAAAAAAAACACACACAAAAAAAAACAAACCTTCGCCTGTCTGCTACCTGTGTGCCTGGTTGACCCTTGGGAGATTTCCTACAGAGGAGCAGCCTTGACTGAACCGCTTGGCAAATAACGCCATGCCCTTGAAAAGCCCAGCGCTATAATCCAAGATTAGAGTGTCACTGTTCACGTCCAGAGAAGAGAGGTTGTTGCCTTGTGGAGGTTTACTGGAAATAATTGGTGTGTCTGAATTCATGCGTTTGTTTATCAATGAGCAACAAATTCTTACTGTGAAATTTGTTAAATAACTTGTTGCTTTAAAGAGTGATCTCTTGATCGGTTCTAGGCTTTGGGATCTATTTGCTCCGCAGCTTTAGGCATGAAGTTTGTCACGTTTCGATTTCTGTTTTTAAAAGTTTTACGTTCTTAAAGTCAGATGAGTTATCTTTTTATTTTACTTTAATAAGAAATTTTTTCATTTCACAGTTAAGGATGTGATTATAAAGTATTACAGGGACGCTGTAGTGCAGCAGAGAAATCCATCTCACTCTTTCTCAATTTATATTTGCATATTTTCCTTTTTGGAAAAATGAATGTAGGGATGATACTGTTGCTTTACTTTAACATAAATTACGCAGAAAACAAAGATTAACATTAATTGTTAATGTTAGACTGAATCTTGTGCAGCAGTCACCACCAGCCATATCACACTGGAAAAATGTTCTAGAAATAAGTAAAAAAATATCTGAAATTCAATATATTTACCCTTAATTTGAGTAGGTAAACTAGATGAATGTTTTTACTCTTAAAATGAGATAATTAGATAATATGCACTTGAAATAAGACAATGCAATTGTGTTTTTCCAGTGCACAGCTAGATGTCTGCATTGGCCTACAGGTTCGCGCACCCATCTGTCCATTCCTTTTTTATATATATATATATATAAAAAAAAAAGCCTTTTTCATCACTGCAAAAATTATCTAGAAATAAGTAAAAATTTCCTAAATTAAGTGTATTCACTCTTAATTTTGAGTAGGTAAATGAGACAGTTTGCCAATGGAATGAGTAATTTTACCCTTAAAATAAGATAATATGCACTTGAAATAAGAGAATGCAATTGTGTTTTCTTATTTTAAGTGTAAATTGTCTTGTTCCATTGGCAGAATGTCTCTTTTACCTCTTCAATTCAAGAACAAATGCACTTATTTTAAGAAAAAAATGACTTATTTAGATTTAGATTTCAATTAAAAACATTTATGTCTGAAAAGATGAATCCTTTATAAAAGCCGGATGTATCCTTCAAATTCAGTGCTTTAGACTTTTTTAAGGTTATATATTTCTAAACTTTCATATCTGCGGTGTTATTTCTTTCTGTTTTTCTAGAGTTTATGCCACTTGTGCTCTCCGTTCACATCTTTATAAGGACACAGGGCTCACCTTGCCGAGATATGCCAGGTGTTTGACTAATAGCTGCTCGGAGCCTCGTATCTCGGTGAAAAAGCTCTATTTTATGCCTGTCATACTGGGTTATCGCACACATCTGTTAACTAAAAGAATATGAAGAAATGATATGGCCCCACCAAATTTTAGCTTAACGTTCCTCATAGTTAAGGATTTAATGATACGTTCATATAAAAAAGAGACATTTATTGCACCTAACCTGTTCACTTCACACAGTGATATACTTCCTTTCATTAAAAGTTTTTTATTGATATTATGTCTGAAGTATTTGAATATAAGGTCACAATTTTTACCATGATTCTAGTAGTTAGATCAAAATGATTATTTAAATCGCTAACAGATACATCTTCCCTAACACCAAAAGGCTTTTTGTCCTGTACCTTCCTAATTTAAAGGACTCCACTCAGAAATATATGCTTATAAAATGAGGAGTTGTGTAACAGAAATGCTGCATGTTTTATTCTTTTAAAAAAGCCTTGAAGGCCCTGTCAGACGTGATATTCATCTCTGTATCTCTGTTTTAGGTGGAAGGGATGAGCAGGAGGGTCTTGCTGCCATCAAAAGGATTTGTGAAGAGTACAAGGAGGCCAAAGGTAGAACTGGGAACACAACAGCATGAATACAGATACCTTGATTTAGCCGTGCAACCTTTTTACTAAAAGCAAAGTGTTTTTCCCAGCTGTTTTTACACCTGCATGCATATAAACGTAATCTCTCAGTAAGCCACTCTTAACTTAGCAGAGTGCCCATTATGGTGAACAAAGGGGTGGAAAAAAAGACATTCTGAAACATAACAGAAAAACACAGAATTACCTTTTATCCTGCTGCTGGTCTCAGCATGTAGAAGCCAGGCTGACCACTGGCTCACAAACTTTTATCTGAAACACATGGAACGTGTTCACTTGTGTGTTGACTTTATTAACAGAACCAGATTTCCAGCAAAAAAGCAGCTTTACTGCATTAGAGAGAAACCCCTCTAAATGAAAAGAAATGTGTCAAGAAAGGAGTTGGAAGAAGAAAGGAATGGAGATAAGAAGAGACAATTGATAGCTGATATTTATCACACCATCGACTAAAGCCTGCAGGGTACTCCGTAACTCCAGTGTTGAGAAATTAAATCGGCTGACCTTCACCGTATCATCAATCCCACCGGTGTCCTGACAAAGAGGTGTCAGAAGTTATTCTCTTCTCTGCTCAAGAAGCCTTGACTTGAACCACACTGGATTGACGTCATATTATATTCCTCAAAATAAAATCCAGGAAGTCGTGCAAGGTAAACACATTACATATAACTGATATTATATTTAATTTCATGTCACTATTCTTTATATAAATCCCTCCTCGCTAAAGAAGCCAACCTTCCAATGAGCATTTTTTCTTCTTCTTTAGAATCAGAGAATGCAGTATAGTTAGTGTAGAGATAGTTTAGTGAACTTTTTTACCTTCTTATAGTAGCTAACATTACTTTAACACTCTAATATTAAATTAACAATACTTCATTATTACCAAGAAGATCTACTTTATCTTTACTCAAACATTTCAAAAAGGCTGATCATTATTCATAAACAGAGGCCTTTATTGTGATACATTAAGCATTTCTGTTACAGTATCTGCTTATAGCCTTTTTCCTTTCCAAGCCTAAATTAACCTGAGGCCCTGTTCACACAGAGACAACAATGGCACAGTGCAAAAATTTAACTAAAGCTAAGTAGATTTGTCTTTAAATAAGTGTTTTTGGACTCACTTTGAGTTTGTCCAATAAATGGTGTGCCAATGGAGTAAGATCTTTGCACTTAAAATAAGAAATGAAATCTTCATTATTTTATTTGAAGTGCAGTATATAAGATCATAATTTAACAAGCCAAAATAAGGATTCTATTGGTTAAAATAAAGACCAGTTATATTTATTTAGAAAAATGTTTTTGTATTTTTATCTATTTTTGCAGAGTGCATTTCTAAAATGGCTGTTTAAAACCAGGATAAAAACACTAACTATGTAAGGGGAAGAATTGCAACAAGTGAAATATTCTGTCCATAGACTCTGCTAAAAATTGTATTAAAGTACATTCATAACTTTTAAAGTAATGCTGCTAACAAACCAACCAAACAACAAACACGGCTGATAAAAAGGGCACCTTGGCGAAGGTAATCGTTATTACAATGGGATAAATTCAAAAGTCTCTGTCTGCAGTCATACAGCACCACTGAAAACACTGTAATATGCATTCCATGGTGGTGCTGTGATGCAGCCACAGTAACACCAGGCAACAAAACCACCAGGCATCCTCAGACGACTCCTGCAAGGTAAACACAGCAAAGATGGGCATGCAGGTTATGGAGAGAGGTGGTGCTAAAGACGTCATTGTTTCAGGAAACACTGTTGCTGTTCGCATTAAACCACAGAACTGACGTCTGGAAATCTCCCCACTCTATGAACCCGATGGACACTTGATATGAATTTTATATCATCTCCTAAAACACTGAATCCATGCGGACATGTTGCCTAAAAATACTTTTGCAAACAACGTCTCTGACTGGACAAGGCCCCAGACATGTCTCATCATGTCCAAAGATGTCAAGAAAAATAGGGTTACTTTTTAACAGCTTCTTAGTTTTCTCCCTTTTTATTTTATTTTTTGTATTTGTTTTCATTGACATTTATAATATCTCCCTATGAGTTGTCTTCCCTCAGTAACAACATTCACAAAGAAGATTTTGTCATTTAAAGGAAATTCCGGTCAGCGAGGAATGATCAATGGATTATTATCTATACCTAAAACTAATATGCACGCTGTGATTGAATTCATTTAACGTTAATCAGTAAAAAAATAAAACAATATTTTTAGTCGCGATCACTGACTCCGGGACCGGACATTTTTGCCTAAATATACAGTAGTAACACCTCACTCCTGACATCTTCCGGCAGTTACGTCACAGTGCAGTAAGCCGAGCGCCATTCTCCCCGCTTTACAAGCAAAATCAATAGGAACTTCTAGACACATCTGCAATCCAGAGGACTTCACCATCGAAATTTGCGTGAGCTATAGTGAAACTGTCAATAACCATATGCATGGCAGTTAGATACATCGGGTAAAAGTGAGGAAAAAATTAGTTATTCCACCTTTCCTATTCATGATCCACCATGGGTTGGTCGTTGGATTGCCAACTTTAAGAGGTCGGATTTGCCTTCGACCTTCTGGCCAGAGAAAAAACACATAATATGTAGCCAACATTTGGAAGAAGAATGTTTTCAAGATGACTTGGATAAAAGCGCGTTGTGACAAACACCAGATACAGCACCGGGACTTGCTCAAAAGCCGATACTGCACCGTGACGTCACAAACCAGTAGGTGGCAGTAGTGCTCTTTGACATCCAGGAATGTCTCAGATAAATCACATTTAAATTAAATTACTCTTAATTTAACCTATTAAACCTATCATATACTGAACAGTATGTAATAATTTCTTATTTAAAGTACTTTCAGAAGTTTGAATTCTGAATATGAACGGACTTCTCCTTTAATACACCTGGCATTGCAGAGGAATGGTGTATTTTACTAAAAAACATCAGATATTTGCCTTTTTGACTGGCTGATAAAATATATGGACTGATCAAGATAAAAATTAGGAATCACATTTTGATCTATTTTGTTTTTCATTTTTTTATTGATGTGTCTTTATAAGGTTAGATTTGTGCTCCTTTTTTGCATTATATTTCACTCATATGTCTACATTCTTTTTCAAAGTATTTAATATTTTCTTTTAGGATTTTTTTTATTACAGTTTCGTTGTTGATTTCTTTTTAGCTGTGCATTTAGTCTCAATATGCAAAAATGAAATAATTGTTGCTGTGCATTATTTTTATTTTTTACTACTTCTGATTTTCTTACCTTGAAGTCCAATCTTTTGGTTTTCAGTGTTAGTTTTTCTTTGTTTCTTTCTTTGCTTTTTTTTCTATGATAACATATTCCATAAAAAAAATTGTTATTTTTGGGCCTATTAAATTGAGCCATCTTTTGATGGTTCAGAATAACCTAAATGTTTTAACTGATTGATGCTGTTTATTCTCTCCATTTTCATAATTACTAAAAGTAGAAAAAATAAACAAAAATTGGAAAACTGGAGGTTTATTTGTTATTTTTTTTTATCTTTGTATAACTGTTGTTTGACAACACGCTGCATCACACGAATTATATTTTTATTAGCCTTTTTATTAAATATCACCTGTGTTTTGGTGCATTTTAATGAGCTCGTCTTGTGGTTTGTGTGCTTTGGCCTTGTGGTGGAAGGACGTGGAGGGCTGGCCGGTCGAGTGGGTGCCGGGTACCTGGACAGCAGGCATGTAGCTGGTGTCATTGAAGTCGATTTCCCTGGATGCAGTCATGCTAGAATTGATTACTTCTTTTGTAATTGGCAGACACTGAGACATAAGGGACACGGGTGTCTGTAGCCAGCTGCTTGTGGGCTGAATGAGAATGTGTTGATGTGGTTGTGTGGATTCAGACAGTAATGGATTCTCATTAGTATGTGAGGCGGCAGCCTTAAACATCTCTGTCCAAAAGCCCTCTGGCACCCTTCCCGGTATCTGCACATTTGTCTGTTAGGAGAAATAGGCAACAGTTTTTAATAGACATGTGGGCTTCTGAGGTAGTTTCATCTGATCACTCATGGATTCACCGGTGGGGAAAAAATCCACTTAAATGGTGAATGTCTTTATGTGTCATATAAAACTGAATGCAATTAACCAGAGTCAATGTGAAAACTTCAGTTTGATTTTTACCATTATTGCTCTATATATCCATCTAGGGTTAACTAAAAAAAATTAGAGAGCAGCAAAAGGAAAAAATTCTTTTTTCAACATTTTACTACTATAAGAAAAAGTGTAATCTGAAAAGTTCAGCGTCCATTTATATGCAACCAATTGCCCTCAAGTAAATAATATAGAAAATAAAGTCATGCTTTATAATGTCCAAGGACTTCACACCGCTTCACATTACATTTAGGCATTCACCCATTTACACACTTAATATACGCTGATGGTGGCAAGCTGCATCATGGCCACAGCTGTTCTGGGGCACACTGACAGAACTGATTAATACATCATTCTACTATAACTACAGCTGGCCAGTACGCCTATTTTTATTTTTTACATCTTACATAGTACTGTCTATTCATCCCAGAAGACATGGCCATCGAAGTGGCCTACTGCAGATCTGGTGGATCTGATGAGATCAATAGCTCAGTGGGAAGAATTCGATCTTTAGCAGCAGGATTAGGAAGCCATGTTGATGAAAATCAAATTTTTTGTTTCCTGTTGCAATGATATCTCCTACAGGGCAACAGTGGCATAAGATACAGGAGTTCTTCTCCTTCCTAGCCTTGAGAAAGAGGCCTCATCCTCTTTGCCTACTGAGCTTGGTCAGAAGTCCCATTGGCTTAAGGTAGCTGTGGGTACAATGAAGCTTGCAACCATCACTGCTTGGATGGCCGTAGTGTAAAGCCCTATGGAGTCCCTGAGTTGAAATATTTTAAGTAAAAAAACCTTTGCCGTTTACTAGATGTTGCACACAGCAAGGCTGCAGGAAAAACAGGG